GAAAATGTTAGTCTATGATCCAGCCAAACGTATTTCTGGCAAAATGGCACTGAATCATCCATATTTTGATGATCTGGACAATCAAATTAAGAAGATGTAGAGCTTTCTGAGAAAAAAGTTTTCCACGTTATATTGAGGACGGATAGTTGTGTTTTACTGTTGGCTATATTTTTGTCTTATATATGTTTCTTCTCTGTGTAAAACCTCAGCTGTATCTCCACCTTCTGATTTCAAAAGTATAACTTAAATGTAAATATTGTTGTATATGAATTTAAATATAACAATTCTGTACATGTGTGTAGATCTTACTGCGACCTCTTTGTTACTATAATAGAACTATAAATCTATTATTGATGTCAGGATTTGGGGAAATTGAGCTTGAGTCATCTCCTTCCTTAGAGCAGATATGTTTTCCCATAGTTGGAATACTGAAATTCAGGAAAGTCTTCTAATTTCAAGTTTCCTAATGCTTTGAAGTATTTTTGTGCTTTGAATGTTTAAATTTTCTTGTCAGTTTCTTGCCATGTGGTAACTATACAACCTGCCTAAAGACAAACATTTTTTCTGTTGGTATTTCAATTTGTGATCTAAACATTTAAGCATTTAGGATGAGAACACTGTACAGATCTGAGAAATGATGCTAAATTTTATAGGGGTTTTCAGTAACTTATAAAACTAACGTTATAGCTTGCCAGAGTTTGCCAAGTTTTACAATCAAAGATCAAGGGCTGTCCACGGCAGGGAAGAACACTTTTGAAAATTTATGAACTATCCTATTTTTAGGTATGTTATGAAAGCTGTTTGTCTGAGTGAATTCTTAGGCCTTGGTCAGAGGTAGTAGCTGGATGAAGGAGTTGTGGATCTTAGCTTTCTAGTCTGACTTAAAAAGGCTACTTACCTATTTTGATAGTGTTGGGTTAGTGACCTTCTAAAAAATGATCTAATGTACATGTATTTAGCTAAAATCACCAGCTATAGGAATTAAATTGTTTAATAATGTTGCTTAATACTTCTAAGTAGCTTAATATAAATTATTTCCTATAGTCAAATGTCTGTAAAAATAGACATTTAGTGTGCATGGTTTTGTTTTTTCTGACCACATCTACTTCCTGTTACCTATGGTAGAATAAGCATTCCTGTATTTCTGATCATGTCCAGTTAATTGGATATGTGATCAATGTTCTATCATGTCCATACTGTCTTAGACATTTTGCACTCTGGAGGAGAAAGTGAAGGTCAGTTTGTTTGGCAGTGGGGTCTGTGAGATAAGCTTGGTTGCTTTGAGGTAGGGTTTGGTAGAAGCCAGCCTGCTGTCAAAGAATGCAGAGCCTCCAGATGGAAGTCATTGGAGCTCATATAGAATGTTAAGATTTCATAGGAGGAACTTAGTAAATGCTTTCATTTATTAAATCCACATAAATATTTGAGATGGTGCAATGATGTGTCTGTAAATTTACATTTCCTTACCTTATTAGAGCTGATTTTTAAATGGTAGATTATTCCATTTAGTGGTTCACAACCAGCATTAACCAATAACCTTTCTCTTACTCAAGGTAGAATAGAAACACACATGCTTTTGTTTCAGTAACATAGATAATGTAGTAAGCAAATGTTGGGTACCTATAGGTAAAGTAGAAGCAGCTTTCATTGTGGCTACTGCTCACTGGAGTCTTAATAGTATGAAATTTTAAAAAAATTTAATATCTTCAGAAAATGAGATAAAATTTTTCTCATTTGAGCATTTAATTTTAAGGTTTGTTTGATCCTGGGACTTGAACCTGACCTGGGCATTATCCCTAAGCTATTTTGCTCAAGGTTAATGCTCTATCAGCTCCATTTACTGCTTTTTGGTAGTTAATTGGAGATAAGATTGTCAAGGACTTAACTAAGGGGGCTGACTTATAACTGTGAACCTCAGATCTCAGCCTTTGGAGTAGCTAGGAT